TTTTTCTGAGCTTCTCGTGCCTCCTCAGATCTGCAGACTTGGCATTCCTTTCCTGTGGTGGCTCAAGGCCCGGGATTCTTCCTCACAGTGCTGCTGGCATGGATCCCTCTGACCTCTCTGCCATCTCCGTAGGCCAGGCCCTCACAGCCTTCCTTTGGGCTGTGCCAGTTACCTTCGACTGCAGCCGCCCTCTTTCTAGGTGGGGAGGCATCAGCTACAGTGACACATGGCCAGGCCCTGGTATGGACACCCTAACACCTCTCACATCGTCACTGGGATGGGGGGAAGAGCTTATGCAGTGATAGATGTTAAGGTGTTTGGTGTTGCCTCTGTGTCCACCTCTCTATTCTTGACTCGCTGTAGGACTGAGCAAGGAGCACCCCTGCCTGGGTCTCCATGTCTCAGTCTGTGCAGTGAGGAGATTGATTAGATGAAGGGTGGCAATTAGGGTTCACTGCCAGCGCCAGCCTATTGGAAATGGCTCCTAAGGGCAGGGTTAGGAAGCATTTAGAGCAGTGGTTCTCAACCTTCTGGCTCTTTAAATACAGTTCCTCATGTTGTGACCCAACCATAAAATTATTTTCGTTGCCACTTCATAACTGTAATGTTGCTACTGTTGTGAATCGTAATGTAAATATCTGATATGCAGGATGGTCTTAGGCGACCCCTGTGAAAGGGTCGTTCGACCGTCAAAGGGGTCACGACCCACAGGTTGAGAACCGCTGATTTAGAGTCAGGGTTTCTTGGGAAAGGGTGCTGTCTGTGGTCCATTGGTAATGCCTGCCGTGGGCCCGGGAGAGGGGAGGGGCAGCAAGTGTGAAGTAGTCCCTGTTCCTGGGCTGGGTGTTCCTTTGCATGACCTCTGCTCTGCATCCCCTTGGCAGTCCTGGTGGAGCCGAATGTCCAATCGGTTCCGGAAGCTCAAACTGATGCAGACTCTGCCCCGTGGGCTGTCCAACAACCAGCCGTTGCCCTTCTGTGATGAGCCAGAGCCAGCACTGGACTCTACAATGCGGGCACCCCCCCAGGACAAGACAAGCTGCTCTGGGCTCCCCAATGTGGCCCCCACAATGAAAGACAATGGTAAGAAAAAGCTGCAGATGTGGTAGAATTTCCAGAATGGTTAGACCCAAATCCTCTGCTCTATGTCCTACCTTCTAGGCTGATATCAAAGGGGAGATGATGTTGGAATGTGATGGTGCAGCAGAGTGGCTGCTCTGGCAAAGAAGAGACTTAGGCAGGGACACAGATGCTGTCAGCATGGTAGAATCAGGGGAGCTAGTGGCAAGAGCCCTGGGTTCCTGTCCCACACACCCTGCTGAAGGACCTGAGGTCACTGAGAGATGGCTTTCCCACCTATCAAATGTGGTGTGTCCCTGGCACTGACAGTGTTTTGAAATAGAACACGTTACCTGGGGGCGGAGGGGTAATGAGCTGCCCCACACTGGAGGTATTCAGCAGATTGGATGACTTTGCGAGAGTGCTAAAGGAGATGCCCGCATTGCTGGGGAAACTGTTCAGATCAGACCTCTTGTAACAAATGCCCCACATCTAGGCTAGCTCCTTTGGCACCACTGTCTGAGACAGACTATTGAGCTGGGGGCGCCACTGTCTGACCCAGCACGGTAGTGGTTTATAAGCTGAAAACATGCTCTGAGATACATTTTTAATGCTTTCCTTTTATTCAGATATTGAATACCAATTATTATTAAATATTTAATCTCCCGGGAGAGTTGGTTGGCCAGGATGAAGGCCAAGCTGGTCACTCACTCATCCTCATGCCACAAAGTCGTGGGGGTGGGAGGGTGGGGGTGGTCATTTCAGGAAACTTCCATTTGTCTCTCAGGTCCCGGGAGCACGAGAGGAGAAAAGGAAGATGTGTTATTGACAACCATGGTGAGTGTGGGGCTTTTCTAAAAGCATTTCGGGTCTCTCCCGGTCATTAGTTGATTGATTTACAAGGAGGGATGTGGGCGTTTGTCGTTCTTGTGGTGGTCACAGCTGGGATTGCCATCACGATGTGTTACAATGGGTACTGGACGGGCACCGAGGAGTTGGAACAGATGCCAGCCCGAAACCGTGGGTAGGGCTGTGCTGACGCTTAGAGGGCAGATGGAGGTCCTGAGGACGGGGCACTGAAGGGTAGGAGTAGTTGGGTGACATTGGGCACTTGGTATTGAGAGCCCAGGAGAGAGGACTCATAGAGAATGTTCCAGCCTGAGCGAGGCCTCAGTTTCCTCATCTAGGGATGTATCAAGGTTATGTTCAGCTGTAAGTAATAGAAAGTCCCCAAGTAACAGTGGCATAAATAAGATAGCAGCTTATTTCTCTCCTGTAAGTGAAGTTCAGAACTGGTACGTTGTTCCGTGGAGTTAGGGACCTCGGTTCCTCTACCCGTTGGTCTCCTAGGGATGGGTTCTTAGTCAAGGTGGCTCTGGGCATTCCAGCCAGCAGGAAAGAGGAGATGGCCATGGGCACATATCAGGTGTTTTTGGAGAGTTTTTCTGGAAACTCACATATCACTTCTTTTTACCTCAAATTGGCCAGGATTTAGTCACACAGCCACATCACACTGCATAGGAGATTGGGAAATGAAGTCTTTGTTCCAGGTGCTTGTGTGCCCAACTAAATATCAGGGGCATCTACTAAGGAGGATGTGGAAGGTGGATACTGGGGAACAGCTAGCTAGCAGTCGCTGACTTAGGGATGCTATCTCTCATGGTTGTGGTTTTAAAATAAGATCATCCACAGGAAGATCTTAGCATAGTGCCTAGCTCACAATGAGCTCGTTATCTGCTGTGTGACCTTAGACGTGCTACTGCACCTCTCTGGGCTTCATGTTCCTCCACGCTTGGGACTGAAGTCCATATAATTGAGACCCTGATCTGGAGGCCAGAAGAGGGCAGTGTTGGAGAGGAGACGGGAGCAGAGGAGCTGCCTTAGAAGTCCTAAGCTGCCTCAGGACCTGCCCAGCAGCAATGAGTCTTGGCCTGAATCTGCCTGCTCCTGTCCACCATGCAATAAGTATAAATTGGTGTCTCTGCACACTGACAGTGGGAGCTTGTACTACCTGACATTTGATAATATTAAAGAGCAATATTAACTTTCATTATGATGACAGAAAGGCTGTTACTGACATTTGGGAAGATGCTGTGAAATATAAAGAAGAAAAATAAAATCACCCATGATTACACATACAATCATAATTGGTATTTTGTGGTATATATTACTTGAGCATTTTTTCTAACATTTTTAGCACCTATGAATATAATACCATGGTGTATATGTATGTATATATATATATATAATATATCTGCTAATACATATATTAGCAGATACTTAACACAGCCCTTGTACCAGCTGCTGTTTATATCACTTTATATACATGCACTCATTTAACCTCTCCGACAGCCGTGCAGAGTAGGCACTGTTATCGTCATCCCCATATTGTCCCAAGCTTGATTTGTTAACAGCTTTTCATTTTTTCTCTGTCACTGAACACGCTCTGTCCTCATCGCATCTAACAGCTGCATGACACAGCATTCCGTCATGGGAATGTGCCTGAGTGACAGTGAAGTCTGACCTTTGGACTCTGGGGTTTCTAGTTTTTTTGTTGTTGCTTTAAAGTTCTGGTGAATATCCTGTGTCTCAGTTTCCCCCACTAGCCTGATGATTTCCTCGGGATAAATATCTAGAAATGGAATTCTGGGATCAAAGGGTGTGAATGTCATTGTTTTCCAGAAATTGTGCAACAATTTAGACTCTCAGCTGGAGGAGTGAAAGTGTCCTGCTGTGGTGGGTTTGTAGCTGAGTGTCCTAGGTCATCTTCCAGTGCAACCCCCTGTTTGCTGGATGGAATGGCTGCAGTCCAGAGGGAGCAGCGCTTGTTCACAGATTCTGAAAAGCCCAGTGCAGCCATGGTGGGAACCCAGGGTGCCCTTCTGCCTTGGACCTCTACTGTCCCACCTCCTCATGCCCTGTAGAGGGCAGCAGTATGCCCACCTGCCCCTTGGCAGATGGAAGCTGGCTGGGGAGCCCTGCTGAGTGGGCATTTGCAGCCATCCTTGCAGAGACGCCCAGCTTGGAGGCAGGTTTAGCTGTGGGATGCCCTTCCCTGCGAAGCACCATCTGGCACGAAGTTCAGTCTTTTCTTAATTAAAGTTAGTGTAGACTGTGAATGCTTTTCCTTGACAGTCCACCAGTCATTGTGTAGATTTTCTGCTGACCCCAGATCACATTTTCAAAATTTTAAATTCAATTACAGTTAAAAATGCCAGCCGTGGGAGGTGTGGCTGGAGAGTAGGATGGGTGTGGTGGGATGAGGAAGGGAGTGTTTGCTGGGCTCACAGAGAGCTAGCCCATGCCTGCCAGTCCCCTCCTCTCTCCCCTCCATCCTAAAACCCCAGCTGTGATCACACCAGTCTCCTTGCAGTTCTGCACGTGGCCTGCTTCTCCCCAGGCCTCTCCACATTCTGTTCCCTCCATCTGCAGTGTCCTTTTCCCTGTCCTCACTGGGCCAGCTTGCACTGGCCTTCGGGCTCAGCTCAGATGCCCCTCCTCCCAGGTGCCCTCTCTGCCTGCAGCAAGGAGTGCCTCCCCTGTGCTCTGCCAGCTCCCCTGCCTGCCCCACGGCACACCCAACATCACGTGGCTTCACCTCGGCCCTCTATCCTCTTCCTGTTCTAATCGCGCTGCTGGGGATGGTTCCAGAAGCCAGGAACTGGAGCAGAGCAGACGTGGGTATTGCTCAGTTGCTGGGAGGAGAGCTGAGGACACCATGTGGGTTTCTGGCTTGGGTGGAGGGGTAGATGGTGCCCTTCTGAGAAGCAGAAGAAACCCGGAGCCTTTCTCTCAGAGCTGGGAGCCTCCCGGGGCCTTTGTCTAACCCACAGCCTGTCTTTTTCAGCTTCGAAATGGAGCCCCCTTCACCAGACTCCCGAGTGACAAGCTGAAGGCAGTCATCCCCCCTTTCTTACCCCCTTCCAGCTTTGAGCTGTGGAGCTCGGACCGGTCCAGGACATGTCACAACGGGAAGGCAGACCCCATGAAGACTGTGCTGCCCCAGAGAGCCAGCAGGGGCCACTCCATGGGCAACGGGAGCACAGACACTGTAAGTCGCCCAGCTGACACACTTTGATGTGTCACTCACCGCTCACTAAAATAGTGATGTGTTGTAGCCAGAAGCGCATCAGACCCACTAATCTAAATAAAAGTTTTTAGTTTATTTTCTTAAGTCAATGACACCATTTACCTAACAAAATTCTATAAGGGACTTAATATGTAAATAGATTACAGGGATTGAAAGCAGGAGCCCCTCTTTTCTGTCCTCTCCATGGAACCCTGGGGCTCCAAGGAACACAGTTTGAAGACCTGAGCTAATTCAACCTTCCCTTCAGTAGATGAGGACCCTGGGACCCAGAGAGGGGTCGTAATTTGCTGAAGATCACCCAGGTGGGGTAGGCCTGAGACCAAAAATCAGATTCTTGGCTTTTAATCAAGTTCTACACTACTTGTTGTTCAGGTCCATGACCAAGAGCAAACACTAGGAAACAACTGTGTGCAGTACTGGTGTTTTCTTGCACCCAGAACGGGTGTGACTTCCATCCTCTGGACCACCGTGGCCCTCAGTGTCTCTGTAACACACTGAGGTATCCCTCTTGAGGTGGGAGGTTATCTCCATGTGTAGACTGTCTCCTCCGCTGCAAAAAGGATTTTGGACCTGCCCTACCGCTCTGTGCTCAGTGATTGGAGAAGGTCAGGGCCTCCATCTCTGATATAAAATAGGGCTGACCCCTGTGCTTGCTGCTGCTTCCCTGGGCCATTGTAATATCGAATTTCTACAGAGAAATCAGGAACCTGCCCTAGAGATGGGCAGGGCGAGTTTACATTTGGTCCACAAAGTGGGAGGAGTTGAGTGATCCTGAAAGCAGGGTGACCTGTGGGAATTGATGTTACGGGGGCTCAGCCTGAGCTAATGGCCAGGTTGGCAGCAGCTAGCAGTGAGCTCCCATCCTCAGGGGACTCCTAGAGGCTGAGTACTGGTCAGCAAGGATGTGCAGGGCGGATGCAGGCATTGGCTCTGGAGGGCCCGCTGAGATTCCCGGTGTCCAGAGGAAGGAACAGTACCCCTAACCGTAACACCTACCTTGTACTTGCAGACTCCTGTCAGGCCGGTTAAATTTCCATCTCTCTCCAGAAGCCCAGCCTCTCCTGCCAATTCTGGAAACTTCAACCACTCGCCTCATTCCTCAGGTGGCTCCAGTGGGGTAGGGGGCATGAGTAGGCACGGCGGGGAGCTGCATAACCGCTCAGGTGGGTACCCGGGCAGGGCCCCTTGGGGAGGTGGGAAGATCCCTTGGGGCTGTGCACACTCTGCATACAGTTCCAGAAACAACTGCATACACCTCATCTTCTTGATGTGGCCAAGGGATTTTTTTCAGTGACTTCACAGTTTTGAGTTTCTTCCCTGCATTTTCTTGGGGGCTAGAGTGGAGACAGCGGAAATAAAGTCTATAGTACTTTATTTTCTTGGGAAATTTTACAAGAAATTAGGAGAAATGTATGGCGTTTCATGGCGTTTAAAATTCTTAAAGGTAAAACCTCAGAGAGCTGTCTTTTCATAGAACAGATGAGGAAACGGAAGCTCAAAGTGGGCAAGAGATTTGCCCAGGGACATGCAGCAAGTCGGTGATAATTGGGACCCAAACCCGAGTGCCCCACAGTTACTTTGACCTTACAGCATGCTTTCTTGTCCTCTCCAAGGACATACAGGGTTAACCAAAGCCAGCTTTATGCCATTACAAGGAATGCATGTGTCTTGTAGAAAAGCTTAAAGACCAGATAAACCAAAAGGTAATAGTCATGATGATGATGAGGATCATAATAAAAGGTATAATCCCCCCCACTGGACGTTATCGTTGACATTTTGGTATATGTCTTTGCAAAGTACTTTTATGCATATTGTATTTATGAAAGTGGAATAATTTTTGAGCGCTGAGTATGTACCAGGCATCCTATCAAACCCTTGAAATGAATGCTCTCCTTCAGTCCCCCAACAGCCTGCAAGGATATGTTCTCCATTTTGCAGATGAGGGAACTGGGGCTCGGGAAAGCTAAGTAACTCGGCCAGGGTCACACAGCTGCGAAGCGGCAGTGCCGGGACCCGAACCCAGGCAGGCTGGCTTCAGAGCGTAGAGGGCTCGGCAACCTTTTCCCTCTTCGCACACATCACCAGGATGTGAACACCTTTTAATGTCCGTACACCTATATCTACAGCATCTTTTTAACAGCCAAAGAGCAGTCCATTCATATGAGGTATCACACTTTTATACAGCCAGTTCCCTCATCCTGAGCTCCGAGGCTGTTCTAGATTTTTGCTCTTGTAGGTAATAACCACATTAAGTAATGCCTTCCTACCTCCATATTCGCATACTCAGTGATTGGCTTAACATAATAAGTTCCCTCAAATCAGGGGTCAATGAGTTTGCCTGTTTTCAAGGACTTTGATACATTTTTGCTTTTCAGAATGACTCTTTTTATACGTGTAAAATACTTACCGCAGTGCCTGGTAAATGCCCTGTAAATGTTAATTATCAGTGTCCTCCTTCTGGCATCTTCCCGAGCCCTGCGTATTATCACTTTCCTTTTTTCTTTCATAGTAACTCAAGGTTGCTAGGAGATTTGGGGGAGCTGGGAGAGGGAACGTGGTCGTCAGGGTTCAAGCAGGGAAGAGGACATCCCGGGTGCTAGGAATGAGGAAGTTATTGACACAACTGTGGGAGGAGCTGGGATGTGAAGGTCTGAAAGGGGGAGACAGAGGTGGAGGGAGGAGCCCTGGTGAGGCTTGACAGGTGGAAGGCGCTGCACAGGGGCTGCAGTGGGAATTCAGGGCAGGGTGGGCAGGCATCTGTGCCTGCTGGCGGCTGGCTGAGCTGGCCATGGTGCGGGGAAAAGTGAGGACAAGTTGATTTTGCCAGCACTGCATCCTTCACCACCTCTTTCCTGATGCTTTCAGCACACAGTGGCCACTGCATCCTGGCCACCTCTGGTTCTCATGCGGAGTCCTCTCGTGGTCAGCCCTGACCCAGAATCACATGGAGAGGGATTCTGGGAGATGTGGTTCTGGCTCCTTCAGGTCAGCACAGGGAGTCCATTGCACCATGCTGCAGTCTGCTGGGCCCGTGACAGTCATTCCCATTCCTTTTTCCTCAGGTGGCAGCATAGACAGTGTCCTGTCCCAGATCGCTGCCCAGAGGAAAAAAGCAGCCGGACTATCTGAGCAGAAGCCCAGCCATCGGTCAAGTCCCATTGGGCCAGCACCTGGGTCCAGCCCTTCTGAACAACTGGGCTCCCCTACAGGTGGTGGCAGTCCCGGTGGCAAGGTGCTTGTTCTGCTTTTGTCTCCTCCTGCTACACTCATAGCTTCTGTCCTAACATGGTCCACATGTGGGGTGACGGGACTCAAGACAGGCCCCTTCCAGCAGCTGCTCCTGGGTTTTCTGAGAAGGGCTGGACTGGGTGGGTAGTTGCTGAGATCACGCCCTGTGCCCTGGGTCCCTGGCACACATGGTCATTTCCCGCCTGATCTCCAGGGCCCCAGCAGGTGCCTCATCCAGCTTTATGTTGCACATGTTCATTGATTAGAGCAAAAGGGTTCCGAGTGTGGGTTCAGGAGCAGACTGCCAGGGTTCAAATCCCAGCTCCACACGTTAGCATCTAGGGTGGGGCCTGGCCCCTGGTGACCCTGTGTGTCAGCTGTGTTGACATTTTTAGCACCACCTTGTTCATTCATTGTACACATCTTGGGAGCTTCTGCTCTGTGCCTGGCACTGCTAGCAGTGAGGATCCAGCAGTGGTTTGGGGTTCTGTGACTACTGTCAGGGTGTCACTATGACACAAACAGTCCCACCTCAGTGTGATAAGGACTGTTGTGGAGAAGGGAGGATGCCCTCCCAGTTCCAGGGCATCAGTGATACCTATATGGGGAGCAGAAGGAGGAGGAGCCAGATCGAAGGAGCAGGTGTGAGACTGTTTCAAGGTGAGGGGACAGCATTCGCAGCGCTCCAGAAGCCAGAGCATGCAGAGGGGAGGGACTGGAGGAAGGTTGGTGAGCAGGACAGAGCCAGGGCCTCGCCTGCCTGCTTTGACACCGTTCTTCCAACGATGCAGCCCAGGAGCCATCACTGCATTGTTTGCATCTGTGGAGTTTGCAATGGGTGAGAGACCCCAAATGCTTCTCTGGAATGGTGCAGTGAAGTCCATCTCCTCTGCTGAGAGGACCCCAAATCCAGGCACAACCCCATTCTTTATCATAGTTTTCAGACCTTAAGCTTAAAGTTAGATCGCCTGAGGGCCTCATCCTTGGACCTTTGTCCAGAAGTGCCTCCAGAAATTAATGTTTTAATGGATGAATGGGAAATAGTCTTTATTTCCTGCCCAGCCACTGTTTGTTACACACTGTTCGTTATTCAAAGTCCCTTTTGCAATTGGACCTACATAATTAGGCTCCTTTTACAATATAGCTCCAGAAAAAGTTTCTCTCTCCCTATGCATTAGCATACTTTCCATTATATTGAAATTTTCTTGGGTAATAGGATTTTGTAATTAAGTTCCTTTTAGAATTTGGCTCTAGGAAAAATGTCTCTACTGATACTTGAATATACTTTCTTTCCACAAATAGTATGAATTATATAATTATTGTATGACTCTTTTTGCCTTTGCTGCTAGGAAACTCAGAGCTACTCATTAAAGTAAATTTGCTAGTCTGGGCTCTGATATAGTTGTTCTCTGTTGCCTAAAATTTCCTGTTTCTATTTTGATGACCTTATTAGATGTGTTGGATATTATTTCCTTCCTTCAATTGGTGTTGGAAATAGATAGACATATAAATTATATTAACTATTGTCTCACATGAATGCATCTATCATCTACAATCTATATACATGCATATTCTGATGAATGGAAATTGTGTCAAAAGATGCATTCAGGCCGAAACCGGTTAGGCTCAGCGGATAGAGCGTCGGCCTGCAGACTGAAAAGTCCCGGGTTCGATTCCGGTCAAGGGCATGTACCTGGGTTGCGGGCACATCCCCGGTGGGAGATGTGCAGGAGGCAGCTGATCGATGTTTCTCGCTCATCGATGTTTCTAACTCTCTATCTCTCTCCCTTCCTCTCTGTGAAAAATCAATAAAAAATGTTAAAAAAAAAAAAGATGCATTCAGGAAATAATAAACTGGGGAAACGATCCAGTTCAATGATCACCTGATAGTCTTAACATAATAATTTGCTGCAACCTTCAGGCTTCTGGGCTCCACCCAGCATAACCGAATGAAACTCTCAAGACAGGGTCTGGGGAATCTGTTTTCCCCCCAGAGTGTGGAAGCCATCCCAGCTCAGTGCTCTCAGAAACCACTGCCCTGAATCAAAGGACATCAGGAGTGGCTTTCTGTCAATGGCTCCAGCAGCAAAATGGAGACATAAAGGGCTTTTCAAAGACTCCCTTAGGAAGCATTAGAAATTAGTATTCAAAATATGATCCTCCTGAACCTGGTTTTTGTACTTTGCTTAAAACAAGCTCTACTGTAATAGTGGAATATTCACAAGGCATGGCCTCTAGCTTGTTTGTGAATCAGCATGAAGTGAGCCTTAGGAGGCTCAGATTGGGAGGTTCAGAGCATTTTCCTACGCTTCCCAGACCTCTGAACGCCCAAAGGTCCACTGGGTATGTCAGCTTCCTGCTCCCACCCTAAAGGCGGATGGTTTAAAACAAAAAGCGTTTCTTTAGCTCGTGAATCTGCAGGTCAGCAGTGTAGGCTAGACTTCACGAGGCGGATCACTTGCATGTCTGGCCGTTGGCTGGGTTAACCAGGACAACTGGGCCATGTGTGTCTGCAAGCTGGGACATGTTCTCCTGAAGCCATGAGTTGAAAAATAATCAAGTTGTTCAAGCAAATCCGCACACCCAGTGCAGGAGAACAGAGAGAGTTATGTAGCAAAAGGTATGGATCCAGGGAGGAGTGGACATGGGGCCATTAATGTAATCAGTCTCCTATATTGAGGACATAGAGAGTAGTTCAGATATCTCAGAGCACCTTAAATCCTATACTTACCTGCCCCCTTCCCCAATAATGCTGCCCACAGGTCCAGAGTATCATGTTTCTTTGCTGTTGGCTGGGGTAGATCTGTTTTATAGACAAATGCTAATTAAGGACTTTTAGGGAAAAACAAGATACTTAGCTCAAAATATCTTCCCCCAAATATTTCTTTATTATGAAGGGAAAAATAGTAGCTTCACCATGGAAAAATTCGACAGACACCATCTTCACTAAGTGATGAAGGTTAACACATCAGCAATAAGATATTGAGACTTTGTGCCTCCTGGTATGTCGTGCTAAGAATGACACATCACCTCGTGGTCATTGACCCAAAAACCCATAAGCAAATCTAATTATGAGGAAACATAAGAGAAACCGAATTTTAGGGACAGTCTACAAATACCTGACCAGGACTCTTCAAAAGTGTCATGGTCATGAAAGACCAGGCAAAACTGAAGAGTTGTCTGTCACACAGATTGGAGGAGAGTAAGACGGGACAAGTCTATGCAACATGGGAGCCTGGACCAGATCCTGGATGAGCACGAGGGCATTAGTGGAACAAGTGGTGACATGAAATCTGAGTCAAGTCTGTAGTTTAGCTAACAGTGTGTCCCAGTGTTAATTTCTTCATTTCGATAATTGTACCATGGTTATGTAAGATGTTAATATCAGGGGAAGCTGGCTGAGGGATACACAGAACTCTTCTGTTTTTGTAATTCTGTAAATCAAAATATTTCCAAATAAAAAAGTGTTTTTAAAACTAAATGGTACACAAACAGAGGGGGACAATGTGTCCTTTGGTGAAAGGTTGGAAGCAACTGGTTTAGATGACATCAAAAGCAGAAAGGGGTTTCATGGGTATATAAGCCACACTTTCATCCTAGAGCTAGATTAACTGAGAGGGAGGGGACTTGGCCAAGGACCTGATGCTAGCAGGGGCAGGACTAGTCCCTGAATTTCCTGACTTTATGGGCCGCTTTTTCCATTCCAGTGCTCAGCTGCAGGGGAGGGTTCTCCTGTAACTGTTCTACTAATGCTGTGTTTGCTTTCATGTGTTTTTTAAAATAGATTTCATAGCCCTGGTTGGCTATCCTGTTGAATGTTCTCTGTTGTATGTCTGTTTTAATCATTTCACCGTCCAGGTGATAGCTATGTATTTGTCTTAATCTTTTGTGCAGAAACTGGAGATGAGCAAAAGGCCTCCATCTGGAACTTCCACTACCTCCAAAAGTACCTCCCCCACCCTCACACCCTCCCCTTCGCCCAAAGGCCATGCGGCCGAGTCCTCGGTGTCCTCCTCTTCATCCCACCGCCAGTCCAAGAGCAGTGGGGGCTCCAGCAGCGGCACCATCACCGATGAGGGTGAGTCCCCTGAGGTCCTGAACCCCACCCTTTTCTTCACTATGGTGACCTGGCAGGTACCTTTCATTGCTCTAGTCATCCTAGGTCAGGCTTATTTGTTGCAAATAAACAAACAACACCGGCCCCTCCCCTGCCCTGACTTTGCCTTGTGTTTTTGTCTTCACTGCTTAAGGTATGGCAAGCTACCTCATAGTTTTGGAATGTAGTGAGCTTTGTTTATATACACACCAGTAGGAATGTTTCTCCAACAGCAGTTAGGTACCATTCCCTGAACCTTGTATAAGTCAGAATTCTTTCGGTTGCAAGTGATGGAATCTCCACTCACTTGCTTTAAGCAAAAACACAAAACAAAACCTCATCATTTGTTAGTTTCCTATAACGGATGTGTCTAGGGCAGCCGTGGGCAAACTACGGCCCGCGGGCCGGATCTGGCCCGTTTGAAATGAATAAAACTATTGAAAAAAAAGACCGTACCCTTTTATGTAATGATGTTTACTTTGAATTTATATTAGTTCACACAAACACTCCATCCATGCTTTTGTTCCGGCCCTCCGGTCCAGTTTAAGAACCCATTGTGGCCCTCGAGTCAAAAAGTTTGCCCACCCCTGGTCTAGGGTGTGCTTCAGGCATGTCTGGATCCAGGCGCTTTGGGAGTATTTCTCTCCGTATCTCAGGTAGGCTCTCTCTGAGTGGTGACAAGGATGTCCCCAAGCAGGTTTAGGCTTACTTCCTCTTCCTACTAACTTAGCAACCCCAGCAGAAAGAGTGCTGACCTCTCAGTAGACCCAACAAAATCCCAAGCGTAAAGGTCACTGGCCTGCTGCAGCTATATTTATAACAACTGTGTCATCCTTGACTACCGCTGGGTCCATTGGGGTGAATGTGCTGACTGGCCCGGCCCAGGTCTTGTGTCTGCCTTTGGAGCCAGGGTTGGTCTGCACTGCCCAAACGGTATGGATTGGAAGTGAGAGAGAAGTGGTTCCTCACAGGAAAATTGAAGTTCTATTTCCAGAAAGAGGAGGAGGGCGGATGCTGGGCAAGCAAAAGCTGTAGACTTTTGCAACCAGAACTTTGGACCCTGCATGCAAGAATGGAAGCCTCTCCCGTGGGGGTGATGAGGGAAAAGGAGTGGATGGCAGGGCAGGAGCGGCGGCTCAGCAGTGAGGCCCCAGGAAAGATAAAGGGAGATGAGAAGAAGGTCATCTATTAAAACTGCCCTCTGGTGGCTCCTGGGAGTGGGGATGGGGAAGGAGGGAGCAGAGCTTCTGTGAGAGATGGGGGCTCAGGCAGGTGCAAATCAAGGAGTATAAACCGGAGAGGGGTGGAAGATCTCAGTGCACATGGGCCTCACCGGGGCATTTGCAGGTCCCTCACTGCAGTGCTGGGCGGTCGTGCTGAGCAGGTTCTGCCCAGGAGGTGATAAGTCAGAATCAGCTGCACAGGCCCTAGTCTGTCCTGAGTTGATGAATGCATGCTGCCGGTGGCATCCTCTGTGTTTGGGGGCTGCTTTATTGTTTTGTGATATCTAGTGCGATCATGTATAAAAGCTTCCGATCTCACTAGCAAGCCCATTCCTCCCTGTGTTTTCTAGGTGGAATCTTTAAGTTCCCCATTCATGAATTCTCCCACCTCAGAGGCTTCCAGGAGTTGAAACCCCTAATGATTCAGTTAGGTATTTGTACCTCACCTTTTTCCAAAACAGAGTTGAGACAGTGGACATGTGTATGCATTGTCCATGCCCACTCTTTTCCCCTTTTATTGATTATTTAAAAGGTTTGCAGAGCCCTAGTTGGGATAAAAAAGAGGAGGAACTGACAGCGAATTCTTTTTGGATTAATTTCTCTTGCTTAGAAAGCTCAGTTTTCCCTTCCAGGGTTTGTGGGTCCTGAGGCAGTGAGACCCTTGTCCTGTGGGCATTAGACTGTCGCAGAATAGATGCTGAAATCCATTGAGACACAGATATTATATTTTTGTGGGAAATGTGTGGGCCCAATCAAGGGCTGCATGCAAGCCTTTGCCCTGCCCATCTTTCCATCCTAGTCCCTCTCTCTGGACTGCTATTGGAAGTCGCCTTCTCACTCTCACGTTCATCTCATGAAGGCTTCTAAGGCAGGCACTGGGTACCATATGTGTGCTGGGTGGTAGGATAACTCACAATCGGGCAGGGGAGTCAGATGCATTCAACAGAATCTCATGAAATGACTGTAACACAAGATGTGAGCAGCAAAGTGCAGAGCGTCATAGCAGGCTTTGCCGGAGTGGGCATTCGGCCAGGCCGCTTGGGCTGAGAAGTGATGAGGCAGTGATGGGCCGGAGCTGAGTGTTAACTTTACAGGAAATGTATGAGCTGGTGATTAAACACAGCTATTAAAAGTCAAATTACAACACCTATATATAAGTGTGTGTGTGTGTAAACATATATAAGAAGATGAAAAAGGAAAAACAAATTACATGAATTTATAATTAGATAAATTATATTAAGTAGAAAGGCATTGGTATTTAAAACAAAATTTTTTACTGTTTTTTTTTAGTGCATTTTAGTAATGTCTATATGTTCTTGAGGTTATTTATATCTCGTTTATATGGTGGGAATATTATATAATGATGCATTGCTCCTGTATATCTCTTCCCAGTTCCACTTTCAGGAACATTACATTGGTAGGTTGAAATCGGCTATGATGGGTGTATTTTACACCATGGAAATCAACAACCACCACCAGTCAGGGCTTGGTTTGTTGTTTTATAGCTCACCTAGACGTGATCTAGTCCGTGGGAGACAATGTTAACTATGCAGGTTAAACTTAAAAGTGTCATGTCTGGTATGGATCTACTGTGAATAGCACAAGAAATTGAGAAAATATTCTTCCAGGATTTGAAAATGGTTATCTAATTCAGCAAAGTTTGCTCACATGAAGTTCTAACATATGTCTTCATTGTTTCATTTTGTCTTACATATCACATAAAAGGAACAATTAACCAGCCTTTATGTTGGAAATATGCTATAGGTACAAGAATTCAGTGAGACACCTGAAATGCAATGAAAACATTTGCTATATGGAATTTATAATAAAGAATATTGTATAACCTATTATCATGTGTAAATTGTGCATTACACATTCTTTATGTCAGTAAACTCTGCAGTAAACTTATGTACCTCCACACATGAATACATTTCCCCTGAGAGGCAGTTGTTAACCATTTACCAGCACACACTGTGGAGGGAGACTGCATGTGGAGGGAACAGCAGGAGCAAAGGTTTTGGTGTCATGAAACTACAATGGATGATGCCTGTGTTGGGACTCAGTTCATCACATATATCCTAGCCCAATAGCAGCTCTTCTGTGGAAGATTCTCCAATTCCTTCGGCTAGGTCAGCTGACCCCTCTGTCCCCGGATCCCCTTGTTTGTGCCCTTCACTCATCACCAACAGGAGAAGTGGCAGAGCTGGGTGAATAGTACAGACCTCGTAGCTAGAGCTTGGGTTTGAACCCCTGTGGACTAGCTGTATGACCTACCCAGGATATGGCACCTAACCTTTCTGTGCCTTACTTTCTCATCTGTAAGTGGGAAAGTAATAGGATCTACCTCATGGGGTTTTGTAAAGAGCAAATGTGTCATCCCTGTACCAGGCACCTGATGGTGAGCAATGTGCATCAGTTGTCACCTCTTCCTTATATCTTCCCAGCCACCCTGAGCTCCTTCATCGCAGGAACCTTTCCGTGCCGGCATTCCCAGCACAGAGTAGACACATGGGTAGCCACTGTTGAATGAGTGAATAAAAGAAGGAACTCAGGCCTTCTAACCTCCAGTTCACTGTTCTGTGAACTACAACCACTGCCCCAGGACCTTTGCACTTGCTGTTCCCCCTGCCTGCTGCTCTTCCCTTGACATCTGCATGTCCTCATTTAGTGCTCCTTCATTTAGTGCTCAAAGGACACCTCATAAAAGAAGCCTTTCCTGACCATCTTTTATAAAACAGCATCCTCCCATCCCCTGTCCGCCTCCCACATGCTGTTCTCCTCCTCTGTCAGCTTGCTTGTTGTCTGTTTGGTCCCTATTGAGTCCTCAATGCCTTGTCTGGTAAATACTTATTGAATGTGTGAATAAATATTTCTTCAAGCCCCCAAATGCTGGTCTTGTTTCCTTTCTCTACTCTCCCTACTCTGATATCTCGAGACCCAAAATACGCTGTTTTCCTCTGGTCTCTGCCCCTCTGGCTCTGCGGCTCCACTGCGATGTGACCTTCTTTCTGGAAGCCACAGCCTCTGCACACCTGGGCGAAACCCCGACTGGTCTCAACCGCACCTGCCTCTGCTCTTAAGTTCTTTCTCTGACTAGCTGGGGACTTGCTGGCATTAGCATTTACTGCAGGTGCAGAGACCAGCAGTCAAGAAATCATAACTAGAAACTGTTCTTGGCCAGAAGGCGGAGTTTTAGACCCAGCAGCTAGAATGCCAAGAACTTGATGGTTGCAGCCATTGGAGAGTTAGTGAAAGTTTGAAGTTCACTCTTTTGATATATTTATCAAATTCTAAAATGGTGTTTTTTCACATCTTTCCCTCTTGAAGATGAACTGACTGGAATCCTGAAGAAATTGTCACTGGAGAAATACCAGCCCATTTTTGAGGAGCAGGAGGTAAGGATGTTTTTTTTGAATGTCAGTTTAAATCCTGCTGTTAAAAAAGTTTGTCTAAATATGTGGGTTTTCATTTTGCCAGCCTGGATTGATCTTTTTCACTGAGACAGCTGAGGAAATAGAATTCGTGTTCAGCACATTTAGTTCAGTTCATCACAGTGAAATCCTGGGGACCTTATGGCTTGTTTTGTTGGAATGAACTTTTGTAATTTTGAGCACTGCCCTCTCTCTCTCATCACGTTTGAGTCCGTCCACACACTTGTCAAAGGGGATCGACTGACAGGCCTTTAGGTTTAAAGCAGATCAGAGGCAAATCCTAATGATTCTGTGCTAAGTGTCTGGATAGAGAGCCTGTGTTCATCTAAGAGAGTTCCTATTTGCTCCAAAGCACTCAAAGTCACATATTTAAAATATTTCTGTCCTGTAGTTTGGTAGTTTCTCAAAATGTTAAACATAGAGTTACTGTCTGACCCCACAATCCCACTCCTAGGTATACACCCAAGAGAAATGAAAACACATGTCCAAACAAAAACTTGCACACAGATGTCCATAGCAGCATTATCATAGCAGCCAAAAGGTGGAAACAACCCAGATGCCCATTGCTTGATGAATGGATAAATAAAATGTGTTAACTCTGTACAATGGACTGTAACTTGGTCATAAAAAAGGAATGAAGCACTGACACATGCTACAGCAGGGATGCACCTTGAAGGCATGACACATTGATAAGTGAAAGAAGCCAGACACAAATGGCCACGTGTTGTATGACTCCATTTATATGAAATTTCCAGAATAGGCAAATCTGTAGAGACAGAGAGATGAGTGGTTGCCAGGGAATGCAGGGAGGAGAGATTGGGGAGTGATTTCTAATGGGCATGAACCTGTTCTAAAATTGAGTGTGGTGAAGGTTACACAACTCTGTACTAAAAATCTTTGAATTGTACACTTTAAATGGGAGAACTGCATGGCAGATGAATTATATCTCAATAAGCTATTAAAATATTTCCTCTTTTGGCCAAATAAAATTCCTCTGCGGCCTACAAGCCACCAGGGTGTACTCACTGGTTTAGAATATTCTGGTGCTCAGCTTAGTACATGAAACTGTCACAAATATAGTAGCAATCAGGAGAATCAGTCCTTGTCCCCAACAAGCTCAAGATGCAATTAAGGAGTTTGTCTTTTCTTTCAAGAAACAGACTGGGATGCTGTGGCTTTCTTTCTCGGTTTGCTTTTCTGCCCTATCCAGTCTGTCCTTCTTGCCTCCCTGGAGTTTTCCATTTGAGCAGGGATTTTTATGGTCAACAAGAAAGTCTTTCCTGTTTGCTGATGGCTGCCGACTCTTGTTTTATATATTCCCTGCCTTCTGAGGAGCTGGCCACAGCGGCCTGGATGTGGCGTCTCTGCCACACGTCTGAGATGGGGGGGCAGAGGGGGTGAGTGTCCTGCTAGGCCAGGCGCAGGCGGTTTCAGTCGAAGCCATGCACTCTTTCGTGCCTGAGCTGTGAAGTCCCAGAGGAGCTAATCATCAGAGAGATGGGCGAGGCCAGCACTCAGAGAGAGCTTGGGATTGGATAATGGAGTAGACCTTTCCCACCAACTCAAACCTGGTTCAAGGTTGTGGTTTTTTTTTAACCTGGGAAAGTACAGTGACTGTTAAAAGAGAGAAGGAAAGATGGGGTGGGAGGTGTTTCTCCTGGAGCTGAGGCTCAGGCAGGGTTGACAGAAAGGTTAGGATTTCTCCCGTAGAAACCGAGGGTTGTACGGCGTTGGGATGCCCTTACTCTGAGCCCTTCTCCACCTTCGTTCTCTGTGCTCTTCTTTCCTTATTGCTTCTGCTTGTTTATTTTCTCTATCTTTCCACAGTCTGCGTCTCTCTTGTCCTCTGGGGGGAAACATGGTGAGTACTTCCATTTACCCGCAATTTCTGTGCAGTAGCCAGTATTGTAAAAGTCCCACCAAAATGGGAATTTACTTTCTAACGGCAGGACTTGGACATTTACCGCTCCAGCCACCCAAATGACTGCCTCGGAGACTTTTCTTACTTGTTTTATCTTCAGGATTTTCCAGAGTTCACCTATTCTGAAAATCCCAGGGCTAGAGTTCAGGAGAGTTAGTTCTTACTGATATTTTCAACTAAACTTTCCGCATAAAGTCAGGAATTGGAAATAGTAAGTCATAATTGATTCACTACTAATAAGCACTAATAGCTCATAATCATGATATTTCTATTGTGGTTGGGAACAGAGGTGTGGCACCAGGCGGATGGTAGCGAACCCCCTACTTTCTCCCCAGGTGGATATGGAAGCGTTCCTCACCCTCACTGACGGCGACTTGAAGGAGCTGGGTATTAAGACAGATGGATCCAGGCAGCAGATTCTGGCAGCAATTTCTGAACTGAATGCAGGCAAGGTATTGTTCTCAATCTTCTTTATTTTTTCTTCCTGTTTTGAACAGCTCACAGCTTTACTAGGATTCTAGGCCCTCCGTGTTTCCAAGGACCTTCGGGGTCTAATTTTATCTCCAGCATATTTGACAGAGGCTGGCCACGCTCTCCTGCGTCTCATGACCGGGTGCTCACTGCCTCCGAGTGTGACCCGTTCCTTTTCCAGATCTCTCTTCCCATAAGGTCGTTTCTCCTGAGATTCAGCTAAAATAGTCCCTCCAGAAATTCCACCTATAGGGCTGGGAAATGCCCTCGAGAGCACAGTGGAAGCAGAGACCGTGATTAAAAGACATGCCCTGCTGTCAGGCCGACCTGTGTTTGAATCACAACACCTGCACTCACTCCCTGTGCTGCCCGGGGCAAGTCAGGTACCTCTCTGAGCCAGGCTCTCCTTGTCTGTAAGGCAGGAATGATGGCACTGATGCCAGGACTAAAATGCTTACAGCCCCTGGCACACCCATCAATCACTGTTGGTATTGTTAGCGTCCTGCATTTTTTTGTCTAATGTTAAATTTCACCTTTAAAGCTAAAGATTAGCAATGCCTCCCTCTCACCCAAAGGCACACATGTGCAAAACACAAACAAACAAAAACAAACAAAACACGAAAAGCAAATCACATCCACTTTGCAGATATTAGTCAGGCAGTCATGTTTCAGTAGCATCCAGCTATTGACATGCCTTTGCCTTCTGCTTTTTTCCCTAATGTGGCCTGGGTTTTTCTGTCTCTCATTCCAACAACAATGTACAATACTTGCTTATCTGTTGCTTTTTCACACTTTGCCTAACGGCTCCCCATTTGTTGCACTACAGTTGCTGCGTCTGGGATTTTGCTGTTACAAAACTACTGTGGTGGACATCTCTGCCTCTGTCCTTGTTCTTCTGTGGTTTAGTTCCTCAGGCTCTGTTCCACGATACGAGGTTATTATCAGAGAGCATGGTCGGTTTTATGGTTCTTTCTCTCTATTGCCAGGTATGCACAGAGTATTGACCGGACTTGTAGCACCAATAGCAAATAAATCTTCAGGAAGCACTTTGTCCTTCATAAGCCGCTTTTCATATGCTTTCTCAGTTACTTGGCTTAGTCACCCTGTGGCTCAGGAGTTTTCGGACCTTCCTCCTCTTGCCTTCACATATGTGAGACAAGGAGAGGATGGAGGTGGGGAAAGCCATGTGTAGGCCATTCAAGGAAGGATAGGAAAAATTCGAGATATAGAACGTTTTAGCCTAAATTAAAAAAAAGAAGAAGAATATTACCTAAAAATCTGGCTCAGCCATAAAAGAAATCACCAAAGCACTTGTAAGCCATGTAACTTCTGTGCAAACCCACTCTAACATTCAAGCTGCTGTATGTATGTGAGTTGGCTTATTAGTTAGTTTCAAGTAGTTTATATGTTGGAGAAGGTTACCCAGAAATGATGACCTGAGTTTCACCTTTGACTGGTCTTAAGCCATTGATTGCTTTTTTTTTCATTCCCACATTTTGTGATTATCAAAGCAGTACATATTCATTTTACTAAATTTGCACAGTAACCAAAAAGGTGAATTTTTAAAGAAATCAGAGTCCATCCACCCAGAGGCCAAGACTGTTCACATTTGAGAAGATTACTCTGCAGTGTTCTGTGCCAAATGTTTGTCTTTATGTGTCTGAGATACGTATTTTTTTTTATATCCCACTTTCTTCATTTAACATTAAAATATGCAGTTACCCATGCCATTTAGAACTTTTTTTAATACGATAAATTTGCATGGATGTACTAAAATTATTATTTTTAAATTCCTACTTGTTGGATGTACATATCCAAACTTTCTCTAGTGCTGCAGGGGGCAACTTTGTGTATACGGCATTCTAATTATCTGCTCAGAACAGATGTTTAAAAGTGGAATTACAGAGTCAGAGAGTCTAATTCAAGGTATACGTTATCTTCTCTTGAATTACTTTCCAGAAAGAGCCAGTGAACATGCCCACCAACTGTGGGTATGAGAGTTTGGTATGTTGTTTAATTTTTATTAATTTGATAGGCCAAAGATGTGCCTTGTTTTAATTTGCATTTCTTTAACTATTAGATAGACAAAACACTTTTTCTACTTTTAATGGCTATTTGCTTTTTTCTTTTGAGAATTATCAGGCAGGTCCTTTGAAATTCAGGGGTTTTTAAAGGGCAATTATCATCATCATCATCTTTAATCAGTTGTGGATGCAGAAATGATTATGGTTTTCATCATTCACAGTTCCCTCCTAAGGTTAGGAGGCAGAGAATGCTGGAACCCTGTCTCGCCCTGACCTCGTTTCTAAGGCAATTAAGGCTGAGGTGGTGTTTAATAATGGCATCGCTGTCACCCCTCCTGTTTATTTTTCCATCTTCTGCAGTTTGCATAGCGTCACCTCATTCATTATCTCAGGTTGAGCCTCATCTCAGCCCCAGCATGCGACATTATCCCATTTTATAGGCACGGACACTTAGCAGTGGGGGGAAGAGGTGCATCATGCCTAGGATGCCCCCACTAGTGAGCATCGAGTAGGGACTCAGGATCCTCCACCCCCACACCTGCTTCTCTGTCCTCTGCCCTGCAGCCTTCAGGTTTGTGTTGATGGAATCCTGATGGCACGTTCCCAGCTTATTTAAAATGAACTGGAAGAACTAACTGAAGGGAGACTCCCACTGCCCTCTCAGGTGTCGGGGGTGCCACGTCAGCACTAGAGATATCCACCTGGGAGTCTGGAGAGGGACCCCTCTGGATGTGGGGAGTTCATGAAATGAGAGAGTTTGGTGTCTGGACTCATTTAATGGACTTTTTTTATTCTTAGCAGAGAATAATCTGCCAGAAATTACTCATTTTTAATTTGCTTTACATTTTAACCACATTTGTTTATTTTTCTTGTTTTCTAAATTTTTATTTTTTTAGTTTTAAAAATATATGTTTAAGCCACGCTGCTTCCTTTTGAGGACAGGAACTGTAGGCTTCTGCTGCTTACACAGGGTCCGATGTCAGCAGCAACCATTTAAGGTACTGTTATTATCCCTGTTTTATAAATGCGGAAACCAAGGCCCAGAGAGACAAAGTACTTTGCTCAAGGCCACAAAGCTAGTAAATGGAGAGATAGGCTTTGAACCCAGGCTGTCTGATTCCAGTCTCTTGTCTTAACCTCTGTGTATTGCTACCCCTTGGACAGGAATTCAGTGAAGATGTTCTCTACGCTTAAAGAAACATTTACATCCCCTCCTTTTCTATCCCAAACTGTGTGTGTAAGGGGGCAGGAAGGGGAGATCTTGCAGGGATGGGGTGAATCACTGTGAATAGGAATCTGACATCTTTTGGGCAAGGAGGAGTAAGGCTGTTCAAACTCTCACACTGTAGCAGAAAGAAGTCTGGCTCCCACTGAATCCCCTGGAAATCCAAGGGCTGGAAGATCACACAAAGCGAAGCAGGGGAGGCGATCTCCCTTCCATGCTGTGTGACCCGGGCAAGTCAGTCCTGCTTCCAGGGCTCTGCTGTCCATGCTCGTCCGGGGGATTGGACTCCCGTGTCTCGGGGCCTCTTCAGTCTTTGGCATGCAGTGATGGTGGGTGCTGGGGGAGAGTCTGACTCAGAGTGTCTTATTAAACTTGGTACTCTGTCAGATATTTTGCCAAGATACCCATAGGTTCTTCAAGTATGAGTTGAACATTAACAACACTGTGTCAGTTGAATTAATGGTTAAAAGATTTTACAAGACTTTCTGTGTCTGTTTTCAATTTCCTCCACAGGGACGTGAGAGACAGATTTTACAGGAAACCATTCACAACTTCCATTCTTCCTTTGAGAGCAGTGCCAGCAACACCAGGGCGCCTGGAAACAATCCCTGTACATGATCCTTCTTCCTGTGGACACCAGCGTGAGCTCTCTGAGTCTCAATACTGCCTCCACGCAGCCAGTGCACCAGCCACCCTCAACTCTTCCCCGTTCCCTGATGAAACACTCCGTGCCTCGTCACACCACTGTGCCTTAGTCATGTTGTTCCCTCTGCCTGGAACACCCCGCTTCCCCTTCCTTGCTGCGGTAGTTGATGAAGCTTGTTGCTGTCACAAACTCCAACCCATCAGAGACTTAGTCTCACTTAAAGTCTAGTATGGCTGCTTCAGGTTGGCAGGTGGTTTCATACAGTGATTCGGGGGCCCAGCTTCTTTCATCTGTGGCTGTGCCTTCCCAGGGGCCTCAGAGTCTTTTCCGGCTGGCAGAAGGGGAAAGGGATGGTGAAGGTGAAGGCCTAGCCATCTCTTACTGCCTTGCTCTTAACTGTTCACATTCCATTGGCTCCTCCTATTTTTATTCACCAGTGGTCACCAGTAGTCACATGGCCATACCTGGATGCAGAGGACACTGGGAAATGTAGTCTTTGTTCAGGCAGTGGCTTCACAGCAACAGCTCTGTCCTGGGGAAGCGCATGTTTTGGCAGATTAGCCTTTTCTGCTACATCTTCCCTTAAAACTTCTAACTTGTTCCCCACAGTTAGAGTCATCTATCAAATGAAGCCTTTTTCTAACCCCTCCAGTCACTGGCGTCCCTTACTGCTTTGTACATAACTCTGCTTTGGTACTTCACTGCACCTACTGTATACAGCATGCAACAGGGTGTGTGTGTTGAATGCGCTTTTCTTTATTGCAAAGGCAGCCTGTTATGTTGGAAAACGGAGGAGGCTCATTGTGTGAACTTGGGAGATCCCGTAGCTTTCTGGCCTTCAGTTTCCTCATCTGTGATCAGGCAAGATTATGCTCTGATACTCCAGACCACTCACCCCAGGTCACTGTAGGACTTTCTGCACTTCCAAGTGGGAGCAGAAGACCTTAATACAGTGGTTCTCAACCTCCCTAATGCCGCGACCCTTTAGTACAGTTCCTCATGTTGTGGTGACCCCCAACCATAAAATTATTTTTGTTGCTACTTCATAACTGTAATTTTGCTACTGTTATGAATCGTAATGTAAATATCTGATATGCAGGATGTATTTTCATTGTTACAAATTTATATTACATTGTAGAAGGACTTTGGTGCTCACATTTTCTAGGCAAAGAAGCAGGGAATTTGGAATGTTTTCTAAACTCTGTTAGTGCTATGTTTCTCAGAAGGGCATTGGCTCATGTAGTTTTTCTACCATGTTATATTATGTTAGAGGGCTCTGAATTTAAATCCAGTAGCTTTCTGTACTGTTTTCAAATGAGTAATTCATTCAGCCAACACTTGCTACATTCCTGTCATTTGCTGGGTGCTGGGGGTACAGAGACGAGCTAGAGCCAGTCTCCACCCTTGAGTACCTCAACAGGCAAGAGATGTGAGTGGGAGATCCAATCCCAACCTTAGGGGACAGCACAGCACAGTGGAGTTGAAAGAGTTTGTGCTCTGGACTAGGGCTCAGAGTTCAGATCCAGCTCTGTGGGTGGCCAGCTGTGTAGCCAGAGATGGGTTACTGAGCCTCTTCATTGGAGCTTAGAGCAGAGTACATAAAGTACTTGGTCTGCAGGATGTACCCTAGATATGGTAGCCTTCACAGAATTCTGATCTTTATCATGAGCTCTGCAGGGCACATGCTGGCTCCTTGCCAGGCCTCTCGTCTCTCCTTCCCCCAGCCATGAATGCCCATTTCTGCTCCATTGACTTTCAGAAGTGGTCATTACTGCATTGCCCAAAGCCTGATCATGTTCTCCCTCTGCCTGTCAGTCCAGTGGGTGCTGTTGGTTCTTTGTCCTCCCATCCTCCTACCTGCTGAAGCTAACTTTCCACATGACTGGAGAGAAAGGGTTTCATTTTAGCCATCACTGACAAATGTCTTTATAATTGTTCCTCACATGCCAGCCTCCTTTAAGGAGACACAGTCATTGGGCACCATTGTGTGCAGCAGCTTGACCTCAGTGCCATTCATCCTGTCACCCTGGAAGCTGGCATAGTTTAACCCCATCCTGCACATTGGGGAAACAGACATGGAGGAGTGAAGCTGTGTGCCTGTTACACATGCAGAAGGAGCAGACTGGCTTTGAACTGAACTGGTGGACTTCTGAGCCTGTGCTCTTTCCACTGACTCCCACAAGCTCCTGGAGCAAGAAGCACCAGGGATGGCCTAGGCCTGTTTGCACATGAAATACATGGCCTCTGAGTTATGTGCCTTGAGGTTTTTTGCCAGCTTTTTGCTGTTTTCCTATCCTCTTCATAAGCCCATATTTGTGCAGCTTCTACTCAGGTAAGTTTGATTAAACACCCACAATGCAGAAGAGCTGGGCATCAGCTTTCCACAAATGCAAATCTCCATGATCTCATCTGATGACTCCAGACAGAACAGAGCTGATTATTCCCATTTGGCAGATGGGAAGACTAAGGCTCAGAATGGATGGTTCTCTTGTCTTTTTCACTGGACTCAAGTGGTTCTAAGGCTTTTTCACCCAGGAAGTTTGTGTGTGCTTGGTGAGAGATCCCTGGCACCCATTCTGGGCCATGATCCCTTTTCTGATGACCCTTCTCACTCCATGTGTCCCTTCAGGAGGCTGAACCACTCCACAGTGTTTCCCTTGCTCGATGACCTTCACCAGCATTTCCCCAAGTGTGTTCCCTGGATGACTATTTTCACAGGATATTATAGGCTTTTCATAAAGAAAAACAGAGGGGTGTGTATGTGAAAGTGGGGTGAGGCTCTTGGATCAAATAGGTTTGGTAGACACTGGGTCACAGCAAAATTACATAATCACCTTTGCTATAGGACATCCAAGAACGTTCAGCACACCACTGTTTGTTTTGAAGGGAGCCAGGTGACTTGTACCATTTCCCACACATTTGATCACCGAATGCTCCTTCATGGTGCTCTTGCAAGATGGGTTCCTTGGACACAGGCAACGAGACCCTGCTTTGACTGGGACAGTGGCAGCCATGAAGCCCCACAGCCCCTAGGATGGGTTGAGGGCACATTCAAGGGCTTCAGTTGCCTTTGGTAATGGCCTCTGTTCTTCCCAGCAGCTCTCTGCAGAGGTGACCTGCTGGTCAGTGAGACATGAAGGTGAAGGGGTCCCTGACTTGGAGATGGCCAGGACCCTGCGCAGAGGGCTCTCTGTCCTGTAGGGGAGGGCCCTTTCCCAGCAGCTGTGCACTGTCCCTCCTGCCTGGTGTGTGCTGGGTGTCCAAGCCCTGCCTCCCAATGCCTCCGATGGTCAGGGGAAGCCCCCACCTCCTTGGTTTAATGCAGGCCATTAGGGAGGCTGGCTAGTTGTGCAAGCAAAATGTTTCCTTTTTCATTCAGTAAACATTGACTGAGTATTTACCCTGTGCCCACCCCATGCTGGTGTTTTGGATCCAGAGATTAAAAAACCCCATCTCTGCCCTCAGGGAACTCACAGTATCTTAGAGACCAGCCCATCAATAGAAACTTGCAGTGCCATGTGAGGAGTCTTGTCAAAAAGGTGTGTGCTAGGTCGACAGCTTGGAGGATGTTGTCAGTGAAGGCTCAGGTTTGCTGGATAGGAGTGGCCAGAGCTGGAGCCAGGTGGGAAGAAGGAGACTGTACAGCAGGCAGCGGGGGAAGAAAAAGGGCACCTCAGGTGTGGGGGACGGTGTGTTTGAAGGCAGGCAGCATATCATAAGTGCGGGTTAAATATCATTAAGGGGTAAGTTAGATACCTGTGTTCCCCCCCCCCCCCCCCC